TGAAGTGAAAATCGCATAAAGATAAATTGCAACCTGAACTGAATCAGGATCCACACGCTTCTCTTCTTCCACCACCTGCGCATCCCGTGCATCCTCTGGCTCCAGGATTTCGGCCGTGTGATTTGGCTCGGTCGTCGCAGTGGAGGGCTCAACTGCTAGCTGCTGCTCTGTCGCTCCATTTTCAACAGCGGTAGCTGCTGCAGGTTCTTCAGCCTTCTTCTCTGCCTCCGGAGCCTCGACGTCACTCTCGTCGTTCTGTCAAAAGGAGCAGAATCAGTAGAGCTTCTTGACTCGTGAAGTGCAAATCGCATAATATAAATTGCAGCATACACCGTGCATCCAGATAAAAGGGGGTGTTAGAAATCCCCTGCTGCTATCCATGGAACTTGTTGACACCCTACCAAACCAAGTTTTATCATGTGACTAATGGACTAATAAACATAAAGAGAACATGTCCGCAACTGCTAACTCAAAACATGCTCTTCTGTCACCGTGTTAAAGTAGCGAGTGAAGAGGAAATCAACAAGCTGTGTACCTCTTTGAGCAGGTCGCTGAGAGACCTCCGGCGACTCCCATCGGCGGCCGGTTCAGTTTCAGCCACAGCCACACCGGCGATCTTCTTCTCCGCGGCGTCCTCCAGAACCACCGGCGCCTCACCTTTTACCTTGAGATCAGCAGGCTTCGTCGCACACGCCCCCATCTCCACTGCAGCGCCGCCGCTAGAACGAGGGTTGACAGAGGCGAGAACCAGATAGCCAGGAACACACCCACACACACGCAGCACGAAGTATTCGTTATATGCAGCGGCGGATGTGCTCCAGCTGACCAGCCGGTACCCGGTAGGTTAGGTACTCCGCTACCTGCCATTGAGGCCGGCCAAGATGGTACTGCTAGTATAATCTATGCTGCAATGCAAGGAGACTCCGGTCAACGTCCTGCTGGGGCGCAGGACCCGGCAACTCCTGAATAACAAACTCGTTGCGTGGTGCTGTCATTGCGCATATCATATGCGGCTACCCATCCCATCATCGATGGTAGTACTACCTGCTGCCCATTGGACTTTGGGACGGCGGCGGCCGGTTGTGCTGCTGCCTGCTGGGCGTCCGAGGGCAGGCTCCGGAATTTCCTAACCACCGCAACTAGCACCCGGCCACTAGGTGCGGTGGTGCCCTTTCCCGTTCATGCTGATCACACTACGTCCGTGCATAATGATTCAATGGCCCTTCTGGCAGAATGGTAATCATCATGCAGACACAGCTGGTTCTCGTTGTTAATTTGGCCCTCAGGAAATTAGGAAAGCCTCCTGCTTGTATCCCTGGCCATGATTGCTCATCAAAATCATTGTTCTTGGAATTTGGAATCTCATATATACGGAGCATCCAACCTCGGTTGATAAGATAAACTCTCAACCAGTAGTTGAGCATGAGGCACTACCGGAGATAACTAACCCTTTTATTTTAATCTGGACAGGGACAAGCAAGACCTTCTGCTACGGCCAAAACGGAGATGAAGATTGAAACCAGCACGCAGAAACACGGCTTGCTAGTTCACACATTCAGAGGCACTCTGACAGCAACAGTGGGAAATCAGCAGCAGCACCTCCGTTGAATTACAACGCCGGGAACATTTTCCGGGTTCCATGGACATACGGCAACATCCTTGTTTGGCGGGGCAAAGCAGTAGCCTGGCCCTGAAAGACAGCAACCCTTCTGTTCTTGTCAGTGCGAAGCCGAGCACAATACGCAGGGAGCTGCTATGTGACGCTCGCTGCGAACAATACGGTGAGCGACTCGCGTGGTCAGCTCGCATCCCTACCTATTACTCCCTCCGTTCGGAATTACTTGTCACAAAAATGAATGTATCTAAAACTAAAATACATCTAGATACAGTATTTTCTGGACGAGTAATTCCGAATGGAGGGAGTACATGGGTGTGGCCCAGGGTGTGGACTGTGGGTCTCCTAGCGTGCGAGCGAGCTAGCGTGCCTCTCCCACCTAGTAGGGGCACGGCTTGAGACGATTGCATGCTAGGGAAGCCCTAGCACTGAGGATCTGATGCTTCATAATTTTATAGTCAGGTCAGACTCAAAACAGATGGTGAACGACATCATAAAGGCACTCAAAGTATACATGGTTCCATCATTAACGAGATCAGGCTACGGGCACCGCATCTAGCTTCTTCATCCCTATGATCCTTTTGTATCTCATAAACTGTGATATTTGGTCAATAAAGCTCGACTATCTCCCCTAAACAAAAAACTAGCAGGGGCGTGATTATAACTCATCTGACACGAATTGGAGCGACCACTCACGTCAGGGGGTCGCGACTGGGCCGGCCCAGGTAGGTACAAGGTAAGTTCGTCTTTTCTCCTGTTTTCTATTTTTTATTATTCTTATTTTAGTAAATATTATATGCGTAGTTAAAACATAAAAAAATTAAAAAAATCTTTACATAAAAAATGTTAATGTAGAACAATTGTTATCTTAATTAATAAAAGGACATTTAAAAATGTCCACGCGTTTCCAAAAAGCATATGTAACACTGTAAAAAGGGTAATTATATGTTTATAAAAAGTTAATTGTATAACAAATAAATATTTCTAATGTATATAAAAAAATGTTGATAGCATAGAACAAATTTTGACATTTTAGAAATATTTACGTGTTTCAAAAAAATGTATGTGACATTATATAAAAAATGAATCACATATTTTTAAAAAGTTAAAGATATATCAAATAATGATTTAGATGTATATGAATAATATACAAGGTTCTAAAAAATACACATCAAACATGTATTTGAAATAAATGTTAATAATTGAATTAAAAATGCTAATCATATATGAACAGAATGTTAAATATGTATAAAAAACTGTTATTGATGTACACGTAAAATGTAGACATCAAATATCTTTATTTGAAAAAATGATAATTGTGTATTTTAAAAGCGTTTCACATGTCCATGAAAAATGTACATAGAAAATTGTAAATAAAATATATGAACAATTAATAAAAAAAGGTCAACAAAAAAGATTATAAACGAAGAAAACCAATGAAAACCATAAACAAAACACATAAAAAGAAAGAAGAAAGAACCCCCAAAACCAAGAAACACGATGAAAAAGAAAGAGAAATGAAGAAAACAAATGAAAACCGAAGAAGGAAACCAAGAAAACAGTGCAAATGAAGGGAAAAGAAAGAAACAAAATCAGTGAAAACCGAGAAAAAACAAAGAAAAACAGTGAAAACAAAAATGAAAGTTCAAACGGAGAAAAAGAGAAAAACCCATGAAAAGCAAAAAGAACCGAAGAAAGATCAAAAGAAAACAGTAAAAAAAAAAGAAGCCGGAGCATACCGAACATACAGTGAGCGAATCCCTATGGTAATGGGCTGACAGCTCGCGTTGCGCCTGACGCGAGAGCACTTTCCTTTTTTTTGGTTTTTTACCTCATTTTTTTATTTTGAGTGGTTTTATTTAATTTATTAAAATTCATGCATTTGAAAAGTTTTCATAAATTAAAAAATGCGCACAAAAACTAAAAGTGTTCGGAGATATTAGAAAAATCATGAATTTGAAAATATGTGTAGTTCAATAAATATTTGCAAATTTAAAAAATGTTCACAAATTAAGAAAAATCTCCACAATTATCAAAGAATTGTTCACATTTTATCTAATGTTCACAAAATTGTAAAAAGGTTTGCAACTTAAAGACATATTCATGAATTCCAAAAAATATTAACAAATTTGATTATAACTCGATGCATTCAATTTTTATGAATTCCATAAAAACACCCATGGTTTTAAAAAAATGATCATAAATTTTAAAAATGTTCATGGTTTGGGAAAAGTTCACAAATTCAAAAAATGTTCGTGAAAGCCAAAACAGTACTCAGATTCGAAAAGCAATCAATTCAAAACATGTTCGTGGATTGAAAACAAATTCCCAGATTCAAACAAATGTTCCTGAATTTAAAAAATAGTCTCATATTTGTAAAAATGATCCTCGATTCAAATAATGTTCGTGGATTTGAGACGTGTTAACAAATTTTGAAATGTGTTCGGAAAGTTGCAAAGTGTTCACCAAAAGTACCATGAATTTAAAACTTAGAAAATGTTCTTGAATTTTATAAAAGTTCATGAATATAAAAAATACATTCAATATTGAAAAAGAAAAGGAAAAAACGAAAGGAAAAAAAGGAGAAAATTAGGGGGGGGGGGGGAATCCCAGGCAGATAGTCAAACATGAAGAAAAACATTTGGAAGCTTCAAAAAGATCATATGGAAGTTTCTCAAAACTGGTAATGGAAGCTGCCTGAAACCAATGTGAGCACTTCCACTTAGTGGGCCAGCTCACTCGGCGCACTTATAGGTGATCGATGTGATGAGGATCACCGCATGAGGATTTCATCAAGATACTTGCAAGTTGCAACACTATGGGCGATTTGGCATGCTCGGAGAAAGGCTATGCATGAGCATGTATTTCAGGGACAGTTAGGTACTAATCAGTTTGTCAAGACTTATCTAAGGAGCTTCAGATTTGCAAACCCTTGAAGCAACATGCAGTTGTTCAAACACCTCTGAGACAACATCACATATGGATCCCGCCGCCTACATGAACTATAAAAAATCATGTTGATGGTGTCGTGTCACGCGACGCAATGGAAGGGACTTTTAATGCAATTTGCAGGGATTCGAGTGAGAAATATCTAGGCTCTTTCCGCGATAAAATGTCAAGGTGTGACTGATCCAACATCATTGGATGCTTTGGTTTGTCGAGAAGCGATATCACTTTCTCTTGACTTATCACTTGCAGACATACAGATAGCTTCATACTGTCAAGGTGTGATCAAAGATATCCATGGAAATATGGGTGGGCTACACTCTAGCATTATTAAGGAGATTAATTTTACATCTTAGCATTTCTATCGTTGTTCCTTCATCTTCGAAGAAAGAGAAACTAATATTGAGGCACATGGCCTCGCTAAACATACTCTAGGTCTTTCTTTAGGACGCCATGTGTGGCTTCTTAATCCCCCGCATCTACATTGTATTCCTATGAACTTTTGTAATCAATAAAGTACGGTATGCTTATACAAAAAGAAGGTGATCGACATGATAACGCTCAATAAGAACGATATATATCATTTGCGGCTATATGCATCACATTAGAATTCAGAATCAGCTTATTACACACAAAGAGAATTCTGACACCCACCAACATGTCGCAATCTAAAACCATAGCTGAAAACGGTTTTCCTAAAATTTCTGTCAGCTAAGATTTAGTTATATCTCGGTCATGTCCGCATGAAATGTAGGAGATCAAAGATTCTTGTGTGTTGGTCTTTTTTCCTAAAAACACAAACTGATTTACTCAGATAAGAAGATACAACTATAGTCTTACGTACCAGAGTTTGCAAGACACAAAAATAACAACTTGTAACACCAACGAGTTGCCGCTAACAAGAACCACCACGCTGATAAGAGCATTGCTACAACAAGGAACCATCTGTGCCGCCACAAGGACTCCATCAAGGGAATCCTCCCCGAGGGTGTTTAAGCCACCTGAGCCACCCGATCTGTCCGAGATCTCAAACCGATGAATGCACCTTGGTCGTGATGACAAAGTCCTTGGATTAGGAGATCTCCGCTAGCAAAGAAAGAACCCATTGCTAGCATGCCATGTGGTGTCTCCCAGCACCG